TCTTTAATGGTCATACTTGTAATAATCGATTCTCTAACAAAAAAAACCGTTTAATAATGAACACTGATTTTTTTTCAAAAAAACTAAAAGCCTAAAAAATACTAAAAGTGCAACGAAAATCAGGTCCAGGGCAGTTTGGCAATGCCCTTGCAACGCTTTGGCGGTTTGACACAATGCTGCAGACAAGAACAGGCATATTCCGACGCGAGAGAAACGCAGCTGGAGCGATCAATTTGTCTCGCTTTGTTTATTGCGTTGGGCGGCTGCACCGACAAGGACAGGTATAGACAAATTTGCTGTGTGCATTTCGGCGTCGCCGAACTCGCCCAGAAGAAAACAGGAAAAACTTTTAAATCCCACAACCAATTAAATTGGCTTTTGCAACCGCTGCATAAATACGGACTGCGCCCGAGGAATCGCATCGGAACAGTGTAAGCGTTCAAGCAAACCACTTCTGAAGATGCAAGCCACTCGTGCTTGCAAAACGTCAGGAAGAAATCGAAAAAAAATCGATTATATGCAAACCATTGATTTCCAGGACAGTATTTCGGCCGTAATTGCGAAATATTCCTCAAACGGCTACATGGACATTCTGCAGGAGAAATGGTACGGCGGACTTCCGTGCTTCAAGCTCGCCCAAGAAATCGCTCAGCCCCGTCCTTTGGGCCTGTCCGCTGTTGCGGGGGTGTTCATTCTATTGGGAATGGGAATTGTGATCGGATTGGTCACTTTGCTCGTTGAGCATTTGTTCTTCAAGTGAGTTGCCGAAATTCCCCATATTTTGCGCAAATATCCACGACTGTGTCTGCATACTGCTGAGTTCTTTTGCAGGTACGTTCTACCCATTCTGCGCGACAAACCCAAGGAGAGCATGTGGAGGAGCAGGAATATCATGTTTTTCAGCCAGGTCAGTTTTACTTGGATTTCTCTTTCTCATCGCTGCATGATTTTCAAAAAATCGGTAACTTCCATTAAGGAAATTGGTGCAAACTATCCGATTATCCGAGGATTTGCTGGCGCTTCCGCTGTTTTTAGGGCAAGTGCTCCTCTGGCCGCCTGCGAAACGCCATCCAGGCTTTGCAACTTGATACAATAATGGTTTATCCTTTCTGTTGTTTGCAGAAACTTTATCGCTTTATCAACTGTGTGGAACTGGTCTCGCCCCATCATGCCGCCCGAGAACTGGTTCACACTATACGACAGGGACAAATCACCAGTCTGTTCCAGAAGAGCATTAAAAGGGTTTGTAGCAGATTTTGCCCCGCGGTTTATTCGGAGCGATGGATTGTTACTGTTACGGCTTTTTGCCCTGTGCTGGCCCTTCAGGCCAACTGCTGCAAAGTTCGCGATATTCTTCATTAACCTTGTTTCAGAAGGAACACGAACAACGTCGACGCAGGAAGAGCAAAGCGCAATTCTTCGAAATGATCCAGGAAATTCGTAGGTAAATACTGGTGTCCGAGGGTGTCTGAAAAGTTCCTCTACACCTCACACCAGGCACTGGAAACATTTTTCTTTGCGCAGCACACAGTTTACACCACACAGCTGATACAAGTAAAGTTACTTTTCAGACACCAATCGCTTAGTGTGCAGGACTAATTTACCGCCTTAAACAGTAACCTTCGTAGGCAGCAGCAGCAGGAGGAGAATCAGACGCATTTGGAGTCCGTGACGGAAGTCGACTCGGAGTACAACTTGAGCCCCGATGAAAAGAAGTCCAAGTTCAGCCCCAATATACTGAAAAGGTAATTTTTGTCTTCATTGCAACGAAAGCGCAAAAATCAAATCGCTCGCAGACTGTCTAATTTGCGATGTTTGGTTTAATAAAGGGACTTTTCTCTTCCTTAAATTATCCTCACTTAAAAGCGAAAATTCACGCGCAGCAAAGCTTAAACTGAAATATTCCCAAGACTTTCTTGGACACTCCGTCGCAATCAAATGCTGGTTCAAAAACCTTGGAAGAACACTGAAAATTGCTTTCTTCTTAGTCTAATTTTTCTCGCTCAATATTACTAAGTTATTTTAGTGGTAGATCGTAAAAAAACTCCTACTTGCTGTTATTGATTACCCTTTTTTTACTGAATCACCTATTTGCTTAGTCCACCTGATAACAGGTAAGAAGTTACCTCGTGCAGTCCGTTTTGCATGGGATTCATGCTTTTTGCCGCTAATTTTTGAGAAAATCAGACATTTAGAGTCAGCTTATAGATGCTTGCTTTAAATTGAAGCTCAACAGAAATAGAGCTGCATGGAAACGAAAGAAGCTCTAAAACAGCCAAGTGGCGACAGATTTGCAATTTAGAATCATCTGAAGTGTCTACGACCACTTTTCTTTCCATCCGAAAAATACAGAAGAAGCTTCAACAGCGCCAATAGGGTGGTTTCATTGTATCAACAATTCCTACAAACCTTTGAACCATAAAACTTTACGTGCATAATCATGGGGAACCGTTGGAAAGAGTT